CAGCCAGAGATAAGGCTCCTCTGTGGTAATGATATGGAGGTAATTAGAAAAAACTACAGCAACAAAATATATACAAGATATTTTATATTGAAAATGTTATTTTCCATTTTAAAACAGTTTGCTTATTTTTATGACTGTAGTGTTAAATTCTTGATGCATTACCAGAAAAACCTAAAGAGAGAATGAATCCACCGTAATTTCAGTCCCAGAAATGGCTACAGAGCAAAAGGATACATTAAGCATCCTTTACATGACGGCATACTTCACAAGGTCACCTCAAAGGAGAAAACAATGAAAATGCCTCTCGCAGGAAAAAAATGGATGCGGATAATCATAGGTTTATCTTCTCAGAACAACAACATAATCAAACTAAATCACCTCGGCCGTTAAATCAAAGAATTGCATGGAGACAATAAGTGCGTTTGAGATTGAATGATGGGACCAGGAAAATGGAATATCCGACTAAGCAGACTTTTATTCTAAATCGGACAAGCTCAACATACTATTAGAGACAAGGCCACGTCAGGGGAGCTTTGGAGGCTCAAGGAAAACAGACTACATAGCGAAAGAGTAAAATTAATTCCAACCTTCTACTATATTATTATTTCAACATTAAAACCCGACGCTAATAAAGGAGGAAACAGAAAGATAGAAACACAGATTATGATGGTAGATAATAACCTATTGGCCCATGTAGCCTGTCCCCGCTCTAGTAAACCAAAAGCCCCCATGTACATTGTTTTCAGGATTATATTGCTCTTATTCAATTCATTTCTAAATACCATAAAGCCCCTTTTTCCATAAACACTGCTGCTGGGGAGTTATTGTGTGTTTGCCCCTCTTTCTGTACACGTAATAATTTCTCACTTGGATGAGGTTGACAAATATACATAGTGTTACTTCCCCAAAGATCCAATGCCCCGGGGGTCCTGCGATGACTGATCGGGGAATTCAGAGTAACTACATATTCAGAATTCAGAGCTAACACTGCAATCTATAGGGCCCAGCCTTGCTGGCGTATTGGCCAACACTAATCCGGGTACGAAGCCTAATCACTAAAATCCCTGCTTGTGACTACTCTACTGGAGGTAGAGAGTGGACATATGAATGTTCTGATGCCCTGTACTGGACGCATAGAGGGAAAAGCATGGCCAATTTTCCAGGAAGACCGCAGTCAGATCCAAAGACAGTTCCTACTGTAAGGAAATGGCGAGATACAAAGGGAAAGTGTATAAGGAGAAAGTGGGACCAAGAAGAGACACAAAAATAGGAATTGGTTTGTGACAAAAAGCGCACTGCACCGTTCCACTGAAATGGAGGTTATCTGTGAGCTGCAGTGTAATCATTGCTGTATCTACTAAAAGGCAGTGTTTACAACGCAGGGTTAAAATGAAAGGATCACTGCACCCAGACCACTTCATGAGTTGAAGTGGTCTGGGTGCTTTTAGTGGCTATTTAAAATCCAATATCAAAGAGAAATACATCTGCAAGGGTAAACAGAGAAACAAGACACAAATAAATCCAATGAATAAATGTGACTGCATTTCACAGTACAATGCTTATTAGGAGCTTGTCGTAGATTGCTTGTCATTGAGTCAAGGTGAGAGTTTTCTAGTTCCCAATATATTTTCTCAAATGACAAATGTGCCATGGTAATTACAGCTAAAGTAACGTTTACTTAGGGCTAGAGATGGAGGGACATTCAGGTAGGATTAGGAGGGCCTTAGATGTTAACTGCTACCTGAAGTGTAATCTACCTGCAGGGTATGTGATACCATGTCTTCTAATACAAAGTAGAAATGCACAATATGTCCAGAGCGATTACGCAATGTAAGCATTATATTCTGTCGTCCTCTGCTATTGCTCCCCAAAATACAGATACAGTATTATATATATATATATATATATGTGTGTATTTTCCTGTTTGTACTATGAAATTGTGAGCGTTGAATATAACTTTGTGAATGCATTTCCATGTGAATGCTTGTATTCTGTGAGTGTAGTGTGTGAATGGACGTGCATTTCTGTGCAGTGTGAAATTGAATGTATGTGTTGTGGTGTGTGAATGCAGATGCATGTGAGAAATTAAAAACTCTACATGCAGCAAGTGAATGTTTTTTATTTTTTCATTTTAGTGCAGGCACGAGGACCATGCAGAGAGTTCTTCAAGATTTCTCCCTGTATGTGAATGGGGCCAGCATGGAGGCCAACTCCCATCACCCTTAACCCTGAGCATGTAATTGTTGCAGTTTTTATAAGCTGCAATAATTACCTTGCAGAGTTAATTCCTCCTCCACTAGAGGGACTTCCGGGTTCTTAGACAACTTTTGGTTGTCTAAACGACGCTGGACGTTCACACGCTATGCACGAGGACTTCAAGGATCGCCGGAAACCCCTTTAGGAAAGCATTGAATAATGCTTTCATATGGGGAGATCCTAATGCGAGCGCAGCCATTGCCGCGCATGCACATTAGGCCTCCCCTGCCGGCAGACGTCGGCGGTGGAGGAGCGTGGACAGAGCTCAGCCAGCACCAAGGGACATCCGAGCTGGACCCTCTGCACCACAGGGGTGGGCCTTGACAAACTAGTTTGTTTTCCTGGCACTATAGTTTCCCTTTGAATTGTATTTATTTTGATAAAATTATTTTGGATGAAAACAGATATTTTTCTAGTCAAAATACATTATAGTCCAATGGTTATTCAGCATGGAGTAGGGATTAGTTGTGTAGCATGAAGCTGTATATTCATGCAATATTTACATTTTTCGTAAATTAATTTCAATAATCCAAGTTAATTAAACTTGTGCCTGCAGAGATAACATGCACATTTTAACAGCAAAAATGTTAAAACATAAACATACAAAGTTCAGAAAGTGACTTTAATACCATTGCTTTTCTATAAATATGTGTACATACCATGAACCACTAACCTTAAAGGGTTACCCCAAGCACCATAACCACTTCAGTGATTTAAAGTGGCCGTGGTGCCTGGAGTCTGTATGCAAATACACATGAATATATAATATATCACTGCATCACACTGTATATTCTATTAGATTAATTAACTCAAATCTTTTCTTTTAGAGTCTTCTCAATTTTTTTTCAATGTGTTGTGTTTATCAAAAGTATTTTAGCAATACAAAATGTAACAAAAAGGAAAGGAAAGCAAAGTCTCACAAAAACTCAATACAATGACATAATCAAAGGCACATAGCATACAACATCATCACAAATGATAGAGAGATGAGAACAATAGACAGAATTGTGTAGCCATGGTCATGAGATGGAGAGAGCATCACCCACTGGCTGCTGGGAAAAGCCAACCAGAGTTAGCACATTGTAAAATTCTTATTTAGCGACCCAGTCATCCCACAGTTATTCCTCGTACAGTTAGTCGTGGAAATGTTATGAATTACTTTAGATAAGGTGAGCAGAAATTTGGATTCACAAGCGCTCGCTATACAAGTTTTCACAAATTTTAACACTTCCTTTCTAATTTGTGATTGCAACAAAATATAACTGCTATATTAAAAAAAAACCATTAGGAATAGAAACAATATGGAGTTTCCCTACCTACGTAGGTGTCCACCTTCCCACTTTTGCAGGGGTTTAAAAGGTAAGATCTACTTACCTTACATTCTGTGGAGAGTTGAACACCATGCTAGTGCTGGTGGACCTCTCTGGATGAGATCATCAGTCTCCATAATCTCAGTCTACCCAGTGCTTCCCTATGGCGAAGCATTGAGAGGCTAGTGTTCATGCGTGGCAAAGCAGACACTGTGCCAATCAAATGCTTTCAATCCAAGTTAAAAAACTCTGTTATAGCCGTGGAAGCGTCTCTAGTGGCTGTCTTCCTCACAGCCGCTTGAGGTGTTTAACCCTATAATGAAAACAATGCTGTTCTTGTAAACAGACAGGGACATAGAACCTAAACCACTTCATTGAGATAAAGTGGCCTGCGTGTCTATAGTGTCCCTTTAAATGAATTAATATTAATAAAAATCTCCATTAACTGTTTTTTTGTTTTTTTTTTAAATTCTTTATTTTTCTTGTGCATGAAAAGACAGTGAACATTTTCTTGCGATGCCACAACAGCAATAGCAAGCTGGGTAGTAGCAATGAATTTGGTATGGCATACAATTTAAAAGCACATTTTTATATTAAAGACAGGCGAAAACTGAAACGTTATGTCAAGAGAAGAGATATGATTTTATGCTAAATTTTCTAATAATTCAAACATATGCATCTGTAAGGTAAGTATAAGCGTTTGCTTCCATATAGCTTAGCATTGCTTGCCCCAAAGGTATTTCCTGCAGCGCTTAACGATTACAGTGAGGTAAAAGGTGGAGTACAGATATGGTATTCTGAGAAGTGTGTACATCGTGGAGTTAAGTGTTTACAGGCTTTGTACGCTTAAGTGTAAGGTCGCTCGTTTGTCTAGTGGGCTTCTTAGTTGGTTACAAGCTTGGGTTACCACGGGCACCTGCTCTTTATGTGTGAGATTGTACGGGCCGTCGACGTTTGCTCACCGTATGAGGTCTGTATGCATGTCTGTCGGAGCTAGTGTGTGCTATTGCCTGGTCGGTGTTGTAGTATCACTGTTTGTGTGTTTTCACTCATCGGTAGTTGTCGGTTAGGCTGTAGTATGTGCGTGATCATGTTTGCTGGCTGGAGTGGCTGTGTGTGCGGGTGGCTAGGCCAGCAGTTCGTAGTAAGTGTTAAGTCCAGAGTTAGCAAATGTCCTGGCTGGGTAGTAGGCTTGGGGTTATCGGGAGATCTGGAGTCACTCCAAGCGGGTTCACCCACTGGTCTCGGAGACCAGCATCTGTGGACTCGGGTATTCCCATGGGAGGCCGCGTTCTTCCCTAGTCAGGGGCTGCTGTGGATCCTGATGGAAGGTCGCTGTCTGTGGCGCCGGATCCTCTGGGCAGGTGGGTGATGCTCAGGGCGTAATCCCCTGGAGGTCTGCCGCCCGGGTGGGCCTGTCCGGTGAGGTTGCACGTTGGTGCCATATTGAGTGCTCCCGCCCGCTCATCCTCCGCTTGTTAGTCATTTCCTTTAGCTGCCAGAGGGAGTCAGCTAGCTTGTCCCAGATGCTGTCGCAGTTTGAAGGTTGGTGCAGTATATTATGCTGGTTTGCCTCCCGCCTCTGCCCATGCTGTGTCTGCACACGCGGCTGTGGGACGGCCGCCATCTTATGTCGGGCTGTCTGACCTTTTCTCTGTGGCATTGTTGATGTTTGGGCCTGATGGTGCTAATTTGTGGTTGCCCGTGAGGACCGGGATAACCCCCGCCGATCCAAGGGGGGGGGGACAGGGACAGCCAGACGCCGGTCAGAGAACTGGGAGAGCGGCCGTCTCTCTCCAGCTCAAGCTCGCTAGGCCTCGGGCTTCAGTCGGGTTGCTCCTATGTCGTGCTGGGTCAGCAGCGGTATCGCTGTGTTCGTCCAGTGCTCGTGCATGTTATGGGCACCTTTTTAGGTCAGTGGCTGAAAGTGGCACGGAGCTGGCTCCGGTAATTTGGCTCTGGCGCTGGAGCTCAGACGAGACACGTCTGATCCGTTCGGCGGTCAGGCCCCGCCCCCCAACTGGTTTTTAAAAACATATTTATTATAACACATTTATTTTCTATCTCCGGATCTATGTTTTTCATGTTATTTTGAGCGAAGTTCATTCCTCATTGTCTATATGTTCGGCACACCTACTTCTCCCTAGATTTCACTCACCCCAATTCATCTTTATTCTATACTTTATTGGTTCTTTCCCTGCTCATCCAAAGTTCACTCTTTCTCTCTCTTCTCTAATCCGACTGAACTCTTTATACAACATTCACTCCTTTCCATCCTTCTAACTTTAGACTTTTTATAACTTGGACTCTCTTAACCGAAAAATGACCACATGTGCATCGTGACATTCCAAGAGGATGGAATCTAATCTTGCTGCTCACGTGGTTTTGAATTACATTTTCACGTATGTTCATTCTGTCCTTTCCATATTTCATTCATATATGTTTTCATTGTTTTTTTTTGTTTTGTTTTCTCTCCAATTTAAAATAGACCACAACTATTTCTGTTTCTTTTTCACCATGCCTTTATTCCTCCCCCTCTTTCCCATAAATTTGCTCTACAATACTTTCATTCATATCCTCCCTCCAGCCCAGCGTAAGTGCTTCTGCCGTGTGTCTAACTAAACAAACATTTAATTTGTATCAGATTCTTGCATAAAGCCACACTCAGGCTGTTTATCTTCATTGTCGTTTGCTATATTTTATGGTCAACACAAGCAAAAAGTGCGTCCGGCCCAAATATGGGAAAAAAGCAGACCGAAATGAACCTTAACTAGGAACTCTGCCTACAGAATGAGTACAACAATACCCAGAGGCCAAACACTGGTTCTGCTCCTGGAAACAGGATAATTTTAAGTAGGATTGTGGAAGCGACACGAGATTCAACAAGGCCACCCTTAGCATTGCAAGATCCGGGGAAAAGAATATTTGGGTTATTTTAACTAGTACACACACAAACATACACAATCTGTCTCCCAAACATATGTGCACACAGACAAAGGTTCTCTGATTCACAGATACCTAAGAAACTCATTCTCTTTTACACATACATGTTTTTCTATCTTACAGAGGCACGTGTACTTTCACTCTTACGGGAATCTACTCCTACTTGGAGAGCTCCATCAACAAAATTTTCCTCTCAACCCTACTTTTCTCCGCCAATCCGCCACTGAATCAATGTATCTCTCTGGGGAAAGTTCAGTGTCTCCATGCAGAAGGTGGAGACACTGAATGTCAGTCACACTGTGCAGCACTGCCCCAGGAAGCACCTCTAGTAGCCATCAGAGGAGTGGCCTGTGGAGTATCCCTAGGCTGTAATGTAAACACTGCATTTTCTCTGAAAAAAACAGTGTTTACTGAAAAAAAGTCTGCAGGGACTGACTATACTCACCAGAACAAATACATTAAGCTGTAGTTGTTCTGGTGACTGCAGTGTCCCTTTAAGAAACAAATGCACTAACCTCCCACTGCAGCCACTCCATAAGCTCCATACATTAAGAATTAGTTTTGCAGGGCCTTCGGCACCAATATACCCTGCTTAAAAACGGACCTGATGGCCAATAACAGGGCTATGCAACATCATTAAAAACAATTTGTTTTCTATCCTGTTAAATTTATTCCTTCTTTAAAAGGATATGTTTGCCTTCAAATAAATAGCTACTTGATAAACCAGTCATGAGTCTGCATGAGTGAAATGCAGCTTTGATCCTCATTTGAGAAAGGCATTTTGGCCGTAACATTGGGAGTATTGTCTTTTAGTATCTCATAACATTGTACCATTGTGTGTGCATTGCTTCTAGTATGTAAACCTGTTTGTTTTTTGTTTCTCGGCTTTCGTGAGGCTGCACAAGCTGGGGCACGGCTGCCATTTTGGATTTGTCATGCGGTCAGCTCAGGAGGGTAGCTCGGCATGGTGGGTGAGTTGGGTTCCCCAGTGGAGACTGGGATGACCCCCACCGGTCAAAAGGGGGGGCTGCGGGGCTCTTGAGTCAAAGCTTGTCCTTGTGCCGGAAGATCGTCCGCCTCTCCTGGCCGCAAAGCGCATCTCAGATTAGGCCACATGGTTGGTCTGCGGTACTTTTCCATATAGTCGTGTGGGATTTGTGTGCAGAAGCTCCAACTCATTTCAGTGATTAGGCACAACAGGCTGTTAGTAGTTCGATTTTGGGCAGTAATTTTTTAATTTTAGTTCCTTTATGTCAGAGCACTCAAAAGGCTTGTCCAGCCATCTTGCCTGCAAGGCCCCGTCCCCTCATGTTCAATGCAGTTTTAATGATATGATAAAAATAAAAGTAGATGCAGTAGCTTTAACGTGGAACACTAACAAAATATGATCTTTTGATACGTTATAGAATATGCTGTTATACACATTATGCAGGGAGAATTAGTTTTTTGGTTATAGTTATCCTTTTACTATGGTGGAGTCTATGGGCTACAAGTATCTTATTTAATGGGGGAGTGCATTATATTTACAACTAGTTTTCAAATGGAACAGCCATTTTTCCAACATATACAAGGAGCACACATGCTCCATTATCCAATTCAAGCCCATGTGTGCTTGGGCCTTCCTTTCACACTGCCATACATTATTATTATTATTATTATTATTGCTGTGGCGAAACCGACCTCGCCACTGGGCATTGGAGAAGACTGATTGCCAGCCTCGTGCCATGTGACTATGGCCCCTGGGATGTATTGCCCTTTAAAGACATGATTTGGGCATAATGGATTTGTGTTGTGCTGCTGCTGGCCCTTTAAGAACCATCTGGGGACATACTGTGGAGTTACTGGGTGGCCACCATTTCCTGTATCAGAAGCACATGGTGAGAACAATGGATGGCGGCCATTTTAACTCACAGACACTGTTTGGACTTTTCAACACGGTACCATCTCGCCAGTATTTGGTGCACAGAGACATCGTGCAGTGGTTTTGGACTATACAACAGGGGACACCTTATACAGTAATTGTTTTTCATATAACCTGCATATGTTCTGTAAAATCTGCATTAAACTGTATCTTCCAAAGTACTGAACGGATCTGGGTGAATTTTGGATATGTGGTTCACCCAGATCCCCCGGTTCCAAGGATATTTTATGGGGTTATTGCATGTTTTGGGGTCCCTGTGATGTGTTTTATGAAACTGTATTTCTCTGTCTGTGATAATTAGATTACCCATTGTGTAAGGTAATTGTATCACAGGCAGAGGGGAGGATTTTTTGTGGGAGTGTCTGAGTGTATTGTACGTGTTATTGGTTGTTCTGTAAAACCCTGTGGGCAGTACTAAGTTTGTGGATTGGGAATAAAAGAGGCTATATGTGCCAGTCCAGTCAGTTCCTGGTTAACCCTCAAAGTGAAGTGTCGTCTTATTATTGGGGGAGGATTTATTGTATGCTGTTCCAGTTTTCTAGTGTAAACCTAGTCGCATGGTTTTTCCTATTCGGCTGTTTACAACATTCATATGCTCCTACGGTTCGGTGGTTTTGGTGTCTGCTGCAGTGCTTGGAGTCCTCAGGAAGTGCTAGGAGCATCCTTTAACTGAGGAACCCAGTCGGGGTGCCAGGTGATCCGTTACATTTGCCATTTATATAGCGCCAACAGATTCCGTAGCGCTTTACAATATTATGAGAGGGGGATTTAACTATAAATAGGACAATTACAAAAAACTTACGGGAACAATAGGTTGAAGCTTAATCGAGCTTACATTCTATAGGGGGTGGGGTGTAAAACACATTATTTTTGCAGTCAAATAAGGTGGGCTGCTCTTAGGAGAGAGCAAGAGACAGGTATGTGAGGTAGAGGTTAGTCTTGGAGGCCATAAGGTTTTCTAAAGAGATGGGTTTAAAGGCACTTCTTAAAAGATGCAAAACTAGGGGAGAGTCTAAAGGCGGTAGGCAGGCTATTCCATAGGAAGGGAGCCGCCGCGAGAAGTCCTTCAAGCGTGAGTTGGCAGTACGGGTGCGGACAACGGACAGGAGGTGGTCACGGGCAGAGCGCAGAGACCGAGAAGGGACATACCTATGGATCTGTGAGGAGATATAAGAGGGGCTAGAGTTGTTCAGTGCTTTGTGGATGTGAATTAATATCTTGAATTGACTCCTATAGCATACAGGAAGCCAATGTAAGGACTGGAAGAGGGGTGAGGTGTGAGAGAACTGACTAGAGAGGAAAATCAGTCTGGCAGCAGCGTTCATTATGGACTGTAGCAGTGCAGTATGGCTTTTGGGAAGACAAATCAGGAGAGGGTTACAATAATCCATGCGGGAAATTACTAGAGAATGGACAAGCTCCTTGGTAGCATCTTGTGCAAGAAAGGGGCGGATGCGGGCTATGTTTTTAAGATGGAATCTACAGGATTTGGCAACAAGCTGGATGTGAGGCTCAGTTTTAGAGAGATTGAGTTTCAGAAAGCGGGAGGACATCCAGTCAGAGATGGAAGAAAGGCAAGCAGTGACAAGTTGCAGGACGGCAGGGGAGAGGTCCGGGGAGGAGAGATATAACTGGGTGTCATCAGCTATATGCACCCAAATACCATGGAAATCACAATGATTTACATTTTATGCCAGGCTATGCCTTTGCAACCTTGAATATAAAAAAAGGGG